CAGCCCAACCCCCCCAATCAAAAATTGGTTTTTTTTCATTTTTTTTTGTGTGAGGGGGTGGGGCCGGGGTTGCGCCGCCCCATGGCGCTTCCCGAATCCCCAACCCCCTTCCCCTCTGGTCGCCACGTGGCGGCAAAGCCGCGCGTCCGTGGATTCGGCCGCGCTTCGCCGCCGCCGAGGGGGATTCATTGCCTCACTGCTCACGTCCAATAACAAGATCACAAGGAGAAATCATAAGTATGAACAAGGAACAAGGACGAAATGCACACACCTCTATACGAACCAAAACCAAGGATCACGAACAGCAGCAGAGGCAGCGATTGTGGAATCCTTTTCACTTCAGTAGTGCAAAATCGAAAACGAACCGATGGGCCTAGCTCAGTTGGTACACCCCTAAACAACAAACATATGAAATAGAGAGTCGAGGCTCGAATCCCAGCTATTAAGCTAATCAATCATAGGAACACAGCACCGAGCAGAATAGCGATCACATAGCAAACTTATCCTACTGAATTAAGGTACTGCGATGATGGGGAGTTGACTAGTCATACTCCACAGACAAGCAATTGGAGGAAGAGTAATTAGGTAGTGGGTAAGGAAGTGGGAGATGATCATCAGGAGCTGTCTCAATCTGCAACAGTAGTATTTCAAACAGTTAAAGGGACCGGTGTGATAAAGAGGGCGAGCGGAAGAATCGCCTCTCGCCTCTCTCGGCTGTCTAATGATAAGAGTATTCTCCAGAAGGACAATGCCACAGGTCTGGAGCCAGGCCACCACAGTGGTTACAACATGAGGGAGGAGGACAGGTGCTATGTCAACAAGACCAATGACTGTCGGAAGAATAGCACACCCACCCATAAGGATGCCCTTGAAGCTCGTCAACAGACAGGGACATGTGTTGCAGGGGGGGATGGAGAGGGAAGAAATGAGTGTGGCACATACGTCGATCATAACGGTTACTACCAAAAAGGCACTCCGGAGAAATCTCCTTTTGGCTCGTGCTATGCTAGTAGCAGGCTGGATGTTGTTGCAAAGTACAGGAGAGTGAGAGGGCGATCACAGGGGCCATTGTCTCCAGGCGTGCAGAAAAAGCAGCAGCTCAAGATAGCAGCAACAGTGGAAAGCTAGATTGTATGGAGAATGATGGTCAGCAGCAGCAAGCTTCTTTCTGTGACCTTGCGGGGATCGGACAAGAGAGTAGCCCGTCAGTGATCCTGAAAGGGGAGCCTGTTGGACCGCTGGTGACCACAAATCAAGAGGAGTACAGAGGGCAAGCAAAGATTGTGCAGGGAATATCAGATTCTATGAAACAGAGTTCAGCCAAGGAGAAGAAGCAAAGAACTGAGGCTTTTAACTCACGGAGGGCAAGCAAGGAAGCCATGGACCACGGAAGGCTGGATAAAGAGATGATGAGCACGAAGGATCGGGTCCAAAATCAGCAGGCCGAGATGGAAAGGGATATTAAGGAACAAAATGGAAAGATGGCAGAGGAGAAAGTGCTGGTTAAGATGACCTTGGGCAGGGAAAAGAAAAGAGCATGGAAGGATCATCGAGCCTGATGATAGGTGCAAGGGGCAAGCAAGTGGTGAGTTGAGGACAAAGGAGCATGATGAGTTTCATGGTGGCGGAGCAAGAACTGGGCAAAGTAATTCAGCCAAGGTTGCGCCAGAGTCTGACAGCATGAGGGAGAAAACGAATGCCAAATTCGGGACTGAAGAACCTAAAAAAACAGCGAAGGTAAAAGCCAAGTCCGATAACATCCACTAGAATGAACTGTGAAGAAGAATGAACTGAGAAGAACGGGCACGTAGAACCAGGCACGGCCACCAGATGAACACGGCAGGCATTCCATCGTTCCTCAAACCTCAAACGTCAATCCAACCAACTCTGGCCACTCCTTCAGATAAAGTCGAAGTTCTCAAATCCCAAAATACTCGCCCAGATCTGCTCATACGCAGGCAAAAAGACAGGGGAAAAAAACAAAAGCAAGACACAACGTCATCTCCCCCTGATGATCCTTCCCTGTGAGCCGCCTGAACGCCCGACTCCTCAACACCTCTCTCTCTCTCTCTCTCTCTCTCTCTCTCTCTCTCTCTCTCTCTCTCTCTCTCTCTCTCTCTCTCTCTCTCCACTGCTAACCCGCCTTTCCCGCCCCGATCCCTTCCGCTCCCTCCTTACTAATTCCCCTTCTCCTTCGCTCGATAATCAAACCCTCCGGCTACCCTCTCATGACTGCACAGATCAAAACCTGCCTCTCTCTCTCTCTCTCTCNTCTCTCTCTCTCTCTCTCTCTCTCTCTCTCTCTCTCTCTCTCTCTCAATAATTGGTGCCGTCAAGGTACGTATTTCATTTATCCTAAAAATTGGTTCCGTGTACTGTGCAAGAGATACACCACTACCTCCTTCCCTGCCCCTCCCTTCTCTGCTTTCCACAAATTGACAGACTGTCAAATGCCCCCCTACTGCCTTTCTCTGTCTACTTTGAACCCCCTCCCCCCCCAGCACACACACATACACACATGGAGCTCCCCTCAGGATCTTGCCAACATGCAGAGGTCACAAATACCAACAGCAAATGGTCGGCGGTCAAGGTACCTATTTTGTGAATGATGGACCCAAAACCCACAACCAACACTGCCCATTTTGGCAAGGTAGGCGTCGTGATGGTTTAGAGACCCTATTTGCTTGTGCTCTTCTATGCTGTTTTGTTCTTCGGCTTCCAAGCTGGGCGTTTGTGCCCGATTTCATTCCTATTCGTTTTCCCGATTGTTTGGTTATGTTCATTCGCTGGCTCGCTTCCCCAATATCAATACAATTTGCAAGCTTAATTTCCTCGCCGCCTCCTCTAGGCCTAACATGTTACCATGCTTGCACCTAGCCTCACCGAAGTCTGAACCTCTTTCTCTTGCTCTTTGTCATGATCCTTTTTTTCCTTCTGTACTTGTTTGTTCTCGTGACTAGATTCCAACGTGCCTCCTTCGTTGACATTCGTGTATTCCGTTCCTATTTCGTCCATTCATTTCCCTGATTACTTGATTGCGTTCTTCAGTTTACTCTGTGGCACAAACCACTGCGCTCGGCGCTCACAATACGCTCGCAACTGAGCAAATGCAAAAACAAGATTCCGCACTCAAGCATCACACTCCCACACCAAGTCGTATACCTTTCTCAGCCTTTTGGCTAAGATCAAGTGTAGTATCTATTCTAATCAGATAAAATTCTGATCAGTTGAATATCTGACATACTCAAAAGCATCACACTCATTGTTGAACGAGCATTCAATCAAACACCAAGTAGTAGACCTTTCTCAGCCTTTTGGCTAAGGTCAAGTGAGCTGATCAGTTTAATGTCTGATGTCTATTCTGACAAGTTTCTCTTTTGATCAGTTCAATATCTGATCCACAAAAGGAAAGCTATAGTGTCTTCGTGACAAATTAGTTGAGAAAAAAAAAAAAAAGGCACCTCCGAAAAACAAACATACCGACAACCAAATGCACTGCACTGATATGAACAAACGACCCTTTCAGCGAACCGCAGTCGGAACTGGGAGCACCTGGATCGAAAACACAACCAAGCAACACAACAGAAAACCAACATACAAAGCAAGCAATGAATTGAGACGTATACGGGGGAAAAGACGAATGGGGATGAACATCCCTGTTGTGTTCAGCCTAGCCTAGCAAGAAATTAGAAAAAGAAAAAAGTCTAGGAATGGGTGTCGCTCCACTACTCCATATACACAAATTTGTGTAGCGTTGGACATAGTTGTCAGACTCTACAAACTGGACGATTTGATCCGTTCAGTGCTGGAGCTAACGCCTGGGGAGTACGCTCGCAAGAGTGAAACTCAAAGGAATTGACGGGGTCCACTACTCCACTATACACAAATTTGTGTAGCGTCGGACATAGTTGTCAGACTCTACAAAAATGGTGGAAAAACGAGTCGTCGCTCCACTAACTCTCCACCTCCGAGGGCCCTCCACTTCGTGACGGCAGAACAAGACATGGTGACGGCGTTAGAAGACACGACTTCATCAGCATTTCTTCCACCCAGAATCCTGGATCAGAGACGGACTCCACAAAACTCGGTCCCGTTCGTGAGCTCGACATAGCACTCTACAACTATCGAATTTTGCAGGGTGGGAACTATACAACGGTGGAGAGTGTTTTTCCTATAGGCTTTCTGACAGCTCTTACAAGAGATTCTCGCAATTTCGTTTGTAGAGTTAGTGGAGCGATGAAAAACTCCACAAATGTGTAGAGTGGATAGTGGAGCGAGACCCAAAATGACACCTTCCCCTTTTCTCTCAGACCTCCTGTTCAAAAAAAAAGAAAGCAGGGAAAACAAGGAAGTCTGACGATATGAAACCTTCCCTCACATCTACCTTCACTGCGGCCAGATTGCGAACAAGCTGTTCTTAGAAATACACCATGATGTGCTTTAGAACATCCGCTAAAATTGGAACTATACATACAGAGAAGATTAGAACGACGATTAGAACGACCCCTGCACAACGATGACACGTGTAAATCGACAAACAGTCCAAATCAATAAGATATACACGCTGAAACAAACAGTCCACCATAAAGGAATTCGTAAATTCATAGGATATACACACCAAGCACGATTTCTACTGTTCAGGTCGCATGTCTTACTGTGAGAGCTCACCAGTGAACAGGACAAAGCTACCTTTCCCAAACTCCACTCGAGAACAGACGGTCAAGCGACTAACTGATATCTCCTGCAAAGCGCTGCAAGCATGGAGCATACCCACGACCTAACTACCATCTTCCCCCGAGCACAATTTTCCCTGATTATGTGCGTACACAAGCTATCTTACTATTGTCGACTACATTCGTGATTGATGAGCGTGCATTATGTCCAGGGGAAGACAGTAGTGCAGTGGAACCTTAATTTTGCCTGATGAAGACTCTGGACCTATGCAACCATCTTCACCCGAATAGAACGCCCGGTCATCATCGCTGCGCTCGGGTATTGCAACAAACCCTCCCTCTCTTTGTCTCTCTCTCTCGACAACGGTAATTAAGAGCCGAATTCTCCTCCGACGTTCTCATTAAGCCAACGATAAATAAAAACCAGTGGTTAAAAAGAATGTAGAGCAGTTTATGCCGTGAGAAATGCTAAAAGCAGCTTCTTCTACATATTTCATTCCTTGAAATACAAGAGAGCGAGGGAAGAAAGGGAGAGAGAAGATAGGGAGAGAGAGAAGAAAGGAAAAGAGAAGAATGGGGGAGAGAGAAGAGGACACAATCCCTGCTGAGGTTATTTATCGAAAACACACATGCATGTTGTCGTGTACTTACATACCTTCAAAAAACATAAAAAGAAAAAAATTAGGAAAATTAGAAAAATTAGGAAAAACTAGGAAACAAGGAGAAAACCGAAAATTGGACAACACCTGCGCCTAATGACTCGTAGGAGCCGCAGTTGCTCCTTGTCAACGAGAACGAGCCGGAGTAAATGCGGCCATCTCTGGTGTCAGTGCGCTGGTCGTTATCGCTCCCTGCGTAAGCGAAGTACCGTTCGAAGCGACAAAGATGGTGATCAAGGTCGGCATCAATGGCTTCGGCCGCATCGGAAGGCTGGTGCTGAGAGGGCTTCCCTCAGTCATCCCGATGTTCAAGTTGTCGCCGTGAACGATCCATTCCTGGATCCGGAGTAGATTGTTTATCTCTTCAAGTACGATACGGTACATGGCAAGTACAAGGGAGAGGTGGGTCTTTCTGCCGACAAGAAGCTTGTTGTCGACGGCAAGGAGATCACTATCTTCGCTCTAAGGGACCCATCGCAGATCCCACGCGGCCAGGCGGGAGCGGCCTACGTTGTGGAGTCCACCGGAGTTTTCACCGACAAGGACAAGGCTGCTGCACATCTCAAAGGAGGCGCCAAAAAGGAGGTTATCTCGGCTCCTTCTGGGAATGCCCCGATGTTTGTGATGGGCGTTAACGAGAAGTCATACACGACCGATCTGGACGTTATTTCCAACGCCAGCTGCACCACCAACTGCATTGCTCCTCTTGCCAAGGTCATCAACGACAGTTTCGGCATCATCGAGGGTCTTATGACCCCAGTGCATGCTGTCACCGCTACCCAGACGACCGTCGATGGACCATCTGGCAAGGCTTGGAGGGGCGGTCGGGACGCTGGGTGCTACATCATCCCGAGCGGGACCGGCGCCGCAAAGGCCGTGGGGGAGATTTTGCCCGTGCTTAACGGCAAGCTCACTGGTATGGCTTTCCGTATCCCGACGGCTGACATGTCCGTGGTGGATCTGACGGTGTAGCTGGAGAATAGCGCCACCTACGAGCTTGCCATACATCTCATCATCTCTCTCATCAAGCTCGTCTCGTGCTACGACAATGAGTGGGGATACTCCAACCGTGTGGTGGAGCTCATTGAGCACATTACGAAGATCGTGTAAGTAATCAGAGGGTAATCAGAGGGGATACTCCAACCTTGAAATTTGAATATTAATTAAAAAAAAAAAAAAAAAACTTCTCCAATTGAGTACATATTAGACCAGCCGCAGGCAGGCTGGTATGGCTGGTATGTCGAAGACGTGGCCTACTTGTGCATGGCCACAATTAGTTGTCATATCCAACAAGCTTTGAAGCCTAAAAGACTCCAAACTTCAAACTCTTGATTTTTTTTATTTTTCTTTTTTTTTTATGAATGTCACTGTACTTTTTGCAAACACAACCTACTGCATTTGGGTGACCCAAACGCGGTCGGTTTTCAGAAAAGCAAAGATACATTTAAAAAAAGAAAAAAAAAAGAGAGGAGCCAGTGATTTTTGCTAGGTCTACCCCATATACCCACAGACCTAGCTCAATTGGTACACCCATAATAAAATGAGCTTGCTATAGACTGAGTCGACGTTAGGTTAGCACAGCAGCAGGTCATCTATAAGCTGGCACCGGCTTCGTTGGCTGTTTGTACTTATATACAAACAAATCTCGAACCGACCACGTTTGGGTCACTCAAATGCAGTAGGTTGTGTTTGCAAAAAATAGAGAGACATTCATAAAAATTATAAAAAAAATGGAAAAAAAAAGAACAAGAGTTTGAAGTTTGGAGTCTTTTAGGGTTCAAAGCTTGTTGGATATGACAACTAATTGTGGCCATGCACAAGTAGGCCACGCCTTCGACATACCAGCCATACCAGCCTGCCTTCGAAAACACGCATGCATGTTGTCGTCCCAGATGAGCTCCTCATGTTTATCGAGCTATGTCCAAGAACGACAGAGAAAAAAAAAAAAAAAAAGGCAAGGAAACAACACACACAGACACACCCAATAATTTTATATAAGAAAAAAAGGGAAAAATTTTGTTAACAAACAAAAAGCAAAAGAAATATGTTTGGGTCACCGGGGTCGGCATGAATCTAAGGCATCTACCTTTTTTGTTGATGTTGAACCACCACCGGGTCCTCTACCCCTCTCCCCTTGTTTCTAGCCCCGGCCCACCGAACTTTCCTTCTCCTACGACTCAACATTGCGAAGATCGCCTAAGTAATCAGAGGGTAATCAGAGGGTAAAATCCTTGAAATTTGAATCAAAAAAAAAAATTTAAAAAAATGGACAACATTCCCCCAACGATTGCCGTCTTTATATCGCCCTGTCCCTTTTTTGTTCTCATCATCCCGCTCTACTCAACTCTCTGCCACTCGTTTCTTCTCACCATTCCTCTCTAGTCCTACCTCTGTCCTCCAACTCTCTTGCGTGACTCTCTCTCTCTCTCTAACCACCTCTAACTATCTCTGTTAGCGTCTTAGTTTCACCATACATCTCATCATCTCTCCCATCATGCGTCTCGTAACCGTTCTCGCACCGATTGCCACAGTCGGACAACAAATCGCTTACGACCTTGTGTCTCCTTCCACTCTCTCGCTCTCACTCGTGTGTCCTCGGCGTCATCCTGTGCCCGTTTACTAGGCACGTGTGATGCCAGTGAGCGGTGTGCGTGTAGTGGGTAAGTGTGGTGGTGGTGTGTGTGTGTGTGTGTGTGTGTGTGTGTGTGTGTGTGTGTGTGTGTGTGTGTGTGTGTGTGTGTGTGTGTGTGNGTGTGTGTGTGTGTGTGTGTGTGTGTGTGTGTGAGAGAGAGAGAGAGAGAGAGAGAGAGAGTGTACCCGAACGAGGAAGCAGCATGCGAACGACCGATCTGAGAGAGAGCAGAGCGACCTAGCGCCAGTGAACGACCGAGTAACATCCGGCGACTAATATTGAGAGAGTGCCAGTGACAGATCGACGGATGCCGATAGAGAGCAACAACTACCGAGTGGTAAATGGTAAAACGAGACGCTAAAGTCGACCAATAACAAAGGAAGCGAGCGAGCGAGCGATAGTGAGAAACACGGCAACAGCAAGCGATCAAGAGAGTGAGAGAAATATGGTACCACGATCACTTAACCGACGATTTTCTTTCCTGACGTGTTACACACTACAATCAATTTGATAGCAAACATAAGTCGAACTTCACACCGAAAGAATATACATATATGTATCGTCAAACAGAGTATATATAAGTCGGAGTTTGTGTAGCGTGCATGGATGCATGCATGTGAATAACGTGCATCCATGCAAGGTGATCATCGTTCTAACAATGGGAGGCGAAGGAGGTTGACGAGAAGCAGGCGCACACAAAGGAGGATGTCGAGGAGGGGATGTAGGAGAGAAAGGAGGAGGGAAGAGGAAGGAGACGGAGGAGGAGAGATAGGTGGAGGCGGCAGAGATGTCATTCAGCGACAACGACCAGGCATTCTATTCCGGTGCAGACGGAAGTAGTCATTCAGCAGTAACGCCCGATGGTCAAACCAACAGCCTATCATCATCATCATCATCATCATCACCACCATCACCACCATCATCATCATCATCATCATCCCGTCATAGTCATCACTGTACTGGTCCTTTCCACCTCTTTTCAGCTGCTCTCCGTATTATACATCCCCTCCCCATCGTCACTCAAGGTGTTCGGCTGATACCGTTTTGTGGTTATATCTGGCACGTACTTTGAATTGGCAAATGTTACGTAGTGAGAGAGACGGGCGATTCTGACTCTCTGCTTCCTGTAGGACGAGATGGAGGAGAAGAACAAGAAGGACAAGAAAATGGCAACCATCAATGGACGAAAACAAGATGGAGGAGGACACGAAGGAGGGTGGTGAGAGAGATGAACACTTACCTTGGACGTAAAACAGCAGCGCGACAAACACCAGCAGGAGCAGCAGCAGAGCAAACAGAACCCAGTCACAGAAGCAAGAGGACAGCGAAGTACGAAGAACGTTCCTAGAATTTCTGAATGCAGTAGACACAAGGCATTGGAAGGACAAAAACAATCAACAGGGCCAATGAACCGAAAAAAGAACCAAATGCGCAAAAATCACGAGGCAACGTAAAGCTTTTTGTTGTGGACTGAAAACAAAGAGCCATATAAATCCATCCCGAAGAAAATACGAAAACTACGTAACATTTGCCACTTCAAAGTAGGTGTCAGATATAACCACAAAACGTTATCAGCCGAACACCTTGCAGAAACGAAAACAAAGAGCGTCTCGAACCGCATCCCTTGTAATACCGTTGCTGGCAACACTGACTGTCGTGATGAGAGAGACACTGGAGGGGTGAAGGAGCGAGGAGAATGAGTCAGTTTCTCATCCACCATATGAGAGGATGAGAGACACTGGAGGGGCGAAGGAGCGAGGAGAATGAGTCAGTTTCTCCTCCTCTCATATGGTGGATGAGAGACCCGGCGCACTCTCTCTCTCTCTCTCTCTCTCTCTCTCTCTCTCTCTCTCTCTCTCTCTCTCTCTTGCCCGTGGCCTCTCTCTCTCTCTCTCTCTCTCTCTCTCTCTCTCTCTGTGTGTGTGTGTCTGTGCCCTGGAGATGGTCGATCTGAGAGACTGACTGATGATGTAGGGAAAAAGCCGTACTCAAGGCCTATAGTGGTGGCAAATAGATGTTCCCTCCAGTCATGCACAGAGCTGGGGGCGATGGTGATGCCCTGATGCGCTGTGTGTCCGATTTTGAATTCAACGTGGGTTCCGTGTTGAAAAATTAACGCTTGTTGAATTCGCGTTAAACTCCCGTTCAAATGCGTGTTGGACACGAATTAACGGGGTCCGCGATGATTTTTTTCCTGGGCTAAAAATTAACCAAAAAATAAAATAAAAATATTGGGTTGTAGGTTTTTTCGAGGACTACAACCCTATATTTTTATTTTTAAATTTTTATGTTTAAATATATATATTTTTGTAAATAAAAAACATAAACACACAATGAAAAAAGAAAAACCAAAATGAAATGAGTGTTTTTTTTTTGGGTTTCACACATGGGAGGCTTATGCCCCTATGAGCCCCTTTCAGGCCCTGCCAAGTATCACATCGGCCGCCCTAAGTGAAGGCAGGCACGACGAGGGCCTGAGGGCCTCTATTTCCGTCACCACGCAACTCAAGGAAATTCAGGCAGTTGCGCAGCGCCAGTTGGTTGGAAGAACCCACGCCCTGGGCAGCCTGTTTGAATGTGTTGCAGGCAGGCCCTGGGCTGGATACGGGATGTGGGCCTAACACAGGTCGTTGACAGTTGGGCGTGAGCAACAACTACAGGCCCAGGGCCTGAGTTGTGTGGACTGGGCCTCAGCCTACTGGGGCCTACCGGAAGCTTCTTGGGAAAGGCCCAGCACAGCCTGAGACAGCAAGCAGGCAGGACACTTCCATATAGCAAAGGGCCTGCCTCCGCATTTGGCATTCGGGTGCTGGCTGCATGCTACGTCAGCGCTACTGCGCTAATAGCTGGCCAGCGCTCACGCACTCACGGGTGAGCAGGAAGGAGCAGGGTGGTCCTTGGGTGCAAGTGGCATATGTGTGTTGGGGAACGAGGTTGTGAGTGAGGTGAGAGACATACCTGGTGCTGGAAGCGTGCGACATTGGTCACTGTATGCTCGTACTTCGGGAAAGTTGTTGATGTCATCTTCGGCATTGTAGTCTAGGCTAGATAGGATCTGCCATCTGTAGCCTGGGCGCCGAGCGCCAGATAGGATATCAACATTGGTTCTTCATTGATGATGATGATGAGACTTTACCAGCATTGTCAATTATGAGCTCTTGGTGTTTTCTTATTTGGTGAAACTCGTGATGCAATTCTGTTGTTGGTTCGAGGTCACGACTATCTCGTCTTGTATATATGATGCTGTTTGATTGCTGAAGTTCGCTATTGCTCATCTTCCTTGCACACTGTTGGTCTAATTCGGTGGTTTAAGAGGTGTTTGAGGGGTCGGGGGATTTTTTTTTTTTTTTTTTTTTTTTTTTTKCCTAGGGCCMCGTGTTCCGGACCCCGCGCATCAATTCCGTTTTTCCGAAAAGT